AAAAAAAAAAAAAGAAAGAAAGAAAGAAAGAAAATACAGGGCCCTTGTTTAAAACTCAGTAAAAACTTCAGGATGGTGACAGCAGAGCATTAAGCTGGGAACAGGGCTTTACATGTCTGCCCAGGTCACATGCCCAGGAGGCAGTGGCAGGCGGGGAGAAAGGTGGTGCTGTCTTTAAGATGAGATGCTGCAGGACATAGTCATTGCCTGGCTGGAGGGATGCAGGCCATTAGGAAGTGAGTGGAGACTGACACAGATGTGCCGATCCCCAGGTCTGGACCTTGGGAGCAGGTAGGTGGGGGGGGACGGGACCCTCAGTGCTGAGGTCAACAGCACATGGCTGAGATTCAGTCAGTTCAGTGTTGGGGATAAAAGGAAGTCTCACAGGGGATACACAGGCCAGAAGGTGCTGAAGATGGAGCCCAGGATAATGAAGAAGGGGCCTCCATGCGGCAGAGAAGGAGCAGGGAAGGGAGCCAGGAGGCCTGGGAAAGACCCTGAAACTCCTAGACCAGGCAACCCTGGAGGCTTTAGGAGTCCCACGCTCCCTGTCCTCAGTCTCTGGTGGCCTCGGTCCATTTCCAAATTCCTGGAGGTGGATGAAGCAGATGTCAAGGATGGAGTGTCCTCTTCCTCTCCTGTGGCTAAGGCCCCATTGGGGGACTTTGGGGAACTACTTGCCCTACCTAAGTTAGGCCTTGGGGACCTTTCCATCAGGCTCTGCTCACTGGGGTCTTCTATCCCAGGACACCTCTATCTGCACCCCTTTGATCACAGTCCTCCTGCAGCCTCGTGTGCCCCTTAGTCTTTCCGTTGCCTGCCGGTGTGGGGGAGGTATGGGGCAGGAGGGTCCCTGATGACCGCTCTCCCCACAGGCCTCCCTGAACCCCAGTGACCACAAGCTGGACGAAGAGCTATGCCAGACGCTCACACAGCGCTACGTGAGCATCATGAACAGACTGCATAGTCTGGGCTATAATGGACAGGTGCACCCTGCACTGACAGAGCAGCTGGTAAATGCCTACGGCATCCTTCGCGAGCGGCCTGAGCTGGCAGCCTCTGAGGGCGGGTCCTACACGGTGGATTTCCTGCAGCGAGTGCTGGTAGAGACCGTGCACCCCAGCATGCTCGCGGATGCATTGCTGCTGCTCTCCTGCCTCAACCAGCTGGCACACGACGATGGCAAGCCCATGTTCATCTGGTGACACTGGTACCCGGCTGGCCCAGGCTTGCTCTGCCCCATACCCCTGTGCACCACTATTAAAGCTTCCCACAGATGCTGGCCACTGCATCCATGCCAGCACTCCTCTGTGGTGGCTCACTGGGCCATTGCTCCACACCCCTTCAGTCCTGACTGCCCTGGAAGTCCACGCCCATCCTGGGGCCTAGAGACCAAGGCCTATCAGCTATCTGGCTGGGGTGAAGGTTAGTCTGAAGGCCCCCAAGCTCCCCTCACTTGGCTCTGGGAGCAGCAGGAGCTCCTGAGACTTGGAGCAGGAATCAGGATGGAGTGGAGTAGTTAGGGAAGGGCTGTAGCTCTGTGCCAGCAGCAGCCTTGAGTGGCACAGAGCTGGAAGCTCAGTGCCAAACCAAAAGCAGAGGTGGGAGGAGACAAGGATGTGAGTATGCTCGTTCTTCCCTCCATACTAGACAGAGGTTGGGGGAGGGGGTCTTCCGGATCTTGAAGAGAGTGGGGCATCAGAGGAAAGAGAGCCAGGAGAAAGCAACCTCACCCAAACCCAGGCATGGGGCAACCCAGAAAAATGGCAGCCCCTTCCCAAGACACCCAGGGTCCAGGAAAAAGAGGTTCACTCCACAAGGTCCCAGAGACCTGGGGTGGGGAATTCAGGGGAGGAGCATGGCGGGATAGGGTAGCAGAAGGTGCAATGGGGGTAGGATGGGGTGCTGGGAGGTAATCTGTAGACTGTGATAGGAAGGGCTTGTAGATAGTGCAGGAAGCTAAGGGGTGTCGGCCAGGACAGGCTGGTCCTGAAGAGGAAGTGCATGAGGAGAAGGGCAATGTGGGCCTAAAAGTGAAAAAGGAGA